ATCAAACCTTTTCAGGTGCTTTGCCAATTTCAAACACAAAACAAATGAGATCGCAAAGTAATGAAAAAGATTTGGAACATTATTTAGGCACAGTTATTTCTACCCTGCAGCTTTGGTGAAAATTATAGAAGCGCGGAAAAACTTGTCTTTGCGAAATTTATTCGTTTGCAACAATCGCCAGGTTAGTAATATATAATTTTTCATTAAAATTAGGTCACATCACCTTTAAAACAGACTTACTGAATGGAATTGAGTTTTTTTATGTAGAATTGTTGAAAACTAGGGGCCAATAGTATAAAAAAGTAATTAAAAATTAACTACAGTTGGTGCGTAAGTTAACTAATCAAGATCGCGTATTTTAAAGTTTACTAGTATTTAAATACAAAATAGTCGCGTTAAAAAGTATAAGAGTTTTATACAACCGGCACGAAGTTAGTAACTTTCTTGTTTAGTGATTTAATCAAATTCGCCGCCCATGTGTATTATTTTGGCTGTAATATGTTATCGCTTACAAAGACCTTTTATGTTCGATATAATAAAACACCTGTTGGAATTCATTGTCGCCCAATATGGCAAAATATTAAGTCTCGACTTCAATATTGGGCTCGACCTTCGGTATCATAATAATAGACTTTAAATACTGCTCTTGGCAAAAGAATTACAGCTGTATTACAAATTTTTAAAAAGCGAAAATGGCTACACAACTGCAAAGTTCAATAGTCTAAGAATTGTGCTAATTGTATAATAAAAATGTACAAAAACAGGTACGCACTTCGTACATGTGGCAAGCCTATTCAGCCTGTTTAATACAGCTGAAGTTCACATTGTCATAAACATTCAGCACAAACATTCATTGTGATACAAAATTAATAATTACTTAACAATTATTGAATGAGGTTGAGCACGATATGAAGAATTATCAAGCCTGAAGTTTGCCGTTATCAACCGAAGCCGAAGGCTGAGGTTGATAACGGAAGGCTGAGGTTGATAACGGCAGACTGAGGGCTTGATAATTCTTCATATTGTGTGAAAACCGAATTCAATAATTGTTTTATTATTTATTTAAAAAATTCAAAACAAACATTTGTATTTTATTTGTATTAAGAAAAAACAATTCCTTAGTCCTTCGGCAGCCGTCGTTGCGTCATATCAATGGCGTCAGCGAGTCAATATGATTCTCGTCGTCATAGTAATATGGCGCAAACGCGTCCAAATTTTTTTCATATTGACTCTTTGACGTCATTTTCCTAATATGAATGTGAAATATCCGTATTTGGTTAGCCATTGAGTTGATATGACAATTTCACAGTTGGCTGTTAGCCAATCAGAAACCAGAAATTTTTTAAGTAAATAATAAAATAGAATAGTGGTCAAAATAAGACAGATGCAGTATCTTTCTTACAATGCGAACAAATGGCTACAACAATCACTCGATTTAAAAGCAACATTTGGTTGATAGCAACGGTACAGCCAATATATTATTGAGTCACTTTAATTAGTAAATGTTTTGCTTTAATAATAAGCATATACAGCAACTAATGATGTCAATTTATTGTTTTTCAAAATTTCACTCTACAAAAATATAGTAAGAGGCATTGTTAATGCATGTCTAAACAATCCAGTAATTCATTAAGATTTCATTGCATTGGTTTGACTTGTTACAAATATATTCTGGTGTCTGGTTCAAAAGTTATTAGCTTTTCTTGAATTGCTGGCATCGCAAATTTCATAAAACCTTTAAATTCAAAGTTCTACATTAATATAATATTTAATACTAGATTTTTAAACATTTTGTATTTATTGTAAGATCTAACAGCATCGGAATATATAATGAACTCATCCAATTGATCATGTCATCACCACTAAAACGTTTCTCTGATAGTTGTACTTGCCCTGATACTTGCATATTCTGATCTTCCTATATTATCCAATATTATCACCAGTCACCATATTATCAGCAAATTGTCCAGAATATGTGTTCACTTAGTTGTTTGAAGCACTGTAGATGTCATGCATCACTATGATTTTGAATCGTCTTTTATCTGCAAATTGTTTAAAAATAACAAAATATTTAAGGCAGATCATAAGACTGAAATATTCGAAATGATGCAGGTATAAATTTAAACAAGATTTAACTCTACCTGTAAAAGTATGAACATGCTACGCAATTGACACTGCTGTTAAATGCTGAAAAGCTTGAAACTTGTCAATATGGTCTCAGCACAATGGCTGTGGGTTTGCTTTTTGATATACCCTCACAGCTGCAAGGTTCAGTGTTGTATCGGGATTGCACTGATCTTCAAAGACGTAGCAAAGCATCTGATGTTGGGGGGGGGGGGAAGATTTTACCTGAAATCTGAACTCCAATGCTAAAAATTTATTTGAAGTGTAATAATTATAATAGAGCTTTTTCTGATTGATTTCCACTGTCATACTACTGTAAGTTTGCAAAGAAAAGGGGGTGTGGGGGTCCTTCCCCTGAAATTTTTTTACGTTTTTGAAACTCCAGGACTGCATTTCTGGCATTTTCTAAAGCAAATTTGCAAACAAATTGGATCTAATTAAACTGACTGGATTTGATGCACCTATCAATGTAAATCCCGTGGGAGGGGGGGAGGGAGGCCGGGACTAGGGGGGGGAGGGAGGCCGGGACTAGGGAGGGGATTTGGCAAAAATATGAGAAAACTAATCAAATGCCCGCAGGGGGGGGGAAGAAAATTCTGGTCAAATAAAGGTAACTTTCCCCACCCAAGGGAGAAGAGCTACATATTTTAAGCTTTTTAAAAACACCAATTTACTTATAAACATCGAGCAAAACAAGGGAGAATCATTTTTAATAATATGAATATGAACATAAAGGTCCGTTCACAGTGGAGGCGATGCTACAATGCGATGCTATTTTCTGATTTTCATAAACAGATAACTTTGATCCTGGTTTAAATTTAAACTTGCCTTTTATACAATTACGTAAAAACCACTGTAAAAAGCTTTGCAAAACAGCACTTTCGACCTCGCTTTCGACTACACTCAAATGACCACGCTGGATTTAAATTTTACGCATCACTGCTCATGTGCATTAATAAGTTCAACCTGCGAGCAGGCTGGGCGGAATTCAAACCGCCCCATCCTGGGGACATGGAAGTTAGAAAACGTCCCAGGGAGGGGATGAGTTTTGTCATCAAACTCCCTGTACTGTCCCGGCCTCCCCCCCCCCACGGGGTTTACATTGATATGTGCATTACAAAAATGGTTATCATTTTACAAAAATAACAACTTTTTAACACAAATTTTATTCGAAAATGTCCAAAATTTAAACATGAATTTCAGGGTTCTGAATTTACCTGAATTACACCATCCCCCCCCAGATCGCTACGTCCTTGCTGATCTGCACCTACATGTATAGTTGGATTTGTCGCAACTGTTCCTGCTCTAAGGTCTAAGAAATGTAAATACATTTCCGCTCAATTATTTCCATCTACAAATTAAATCCTTCAACTATCAATTATTTCCATCTACAAAATCCCTCAACTATGCGTAAACAGGCTGAGCTACCATTGCACTGCACTGTGTGTGAAATTGTGGTGGCATACAATCCTTGAACAATAGATCTCAATAATAGCTCCCATATTTGCAGTCAAAGGGATGTCAGTGACTACAACAGTGATATAAAATAGTCCAGCCTGGTTTCGGTGTTAATTTTAGTTTTATGCCTGCAAGCTGATAGGGCAGTTGAAGTACAATGCCAGCAATGGGCTTGCTTTTTAATTTACCCGCACAATGGTATATTAAAATTCAACAACTGTGCAAGCACGTTAGATTATAAACAGGATTATAAAGCTTAATATATGAAGCGTGATCAAAATCTCTCTGACACGAGGCAGAGTCCACAGCAGACATGAATAGCAATGTTTTTATAAATATGAATGACAGATTCACAAATTATAAACATAATATCGATTGAGATAACAAAAATTAACTTACTGTTTGCTGTGAAAAATTCCTTCGAGTACTTCTACCAGCGTTGCCAACTGTAATTTTCCAAAGTGAGGCAAAGATACCTTATCTGTGGCATTTAATATCATCGCCTTGTGGCATGAACGACAGTTTCCGAAGTAAAGTCGACAATTTCCGTCACAACTTCACAACTCGATCTGCCTATTTTCCACTAGCGAATTTGTTCGCGCGAACATTTGTCTTACGAACTCTCGGCTGGAACTAATTAGATTTTTATTCAATTCTTTTCAATTTAAACAATAGCAAATTCGCTTCGCACGAAGAAATTCGCAAGTGGAAAACCGGCTTAACATTTTAGCGTTACATAATGGCAAAAACTAATCCGTAACAACTAATTCGGCATGTTGTAAAAGACGGACTGGACTGGACTGGACCGGACTGGACTGGACTGGACCGGGAAAACGCGGACCGAGTCCGTGTTTTACAAATCGTGGACTGAATTTGTAAAACACGGACTGGACTGGACTGGGAAAACACGGACTGAGTCCGTGTTTTACAAATCGCGAACTAAGATTTGTAAAACGCGGACTGAGTCCGTGTTTTACAAATCGCGGGCTGCGATTTGTAAAAGGCGGACTCATTTACTTAATTCACTAAGGATGAACGGTCGCAGTAAAGTATTGTCTATTCTCATGACAAAGTTCAATGTTTTTACCGAGAAAGTTCAATGTTTTTGATGATCATTTATGGACTTTATGATCATTTGGTGGTTTCAAAGCTTGGATCTGGTTGTTCAACGGGTTAAAATCAGATCAGAACTTGTCAAGTGCTCTTGACAAATATCGAAGATTCTCACGCGAATAGGCAATGTTTTTATCAACGACCTCACCGTTCATCCTGCAAGCGACGGTACATGGGCTCAGTCGTAAAAGTTTTGGCGGGAATTGCATTCAGTCGTGAGAGTTTTGGCGGGAATTGCGGATATTAATAGGTCGGTCAAGGAATAATCATATCCTGGAGCTAAGGTTGGTAAAAATTACTATTAGGGTACCCGAGCTAGCTCGCTTTAGGCGGGATCCCATCTTTGTTAATATTTCCTACTAAATTTCATGTTGTGTTTATATGAGAACCGAGCTGGCCCGCCTAACCGAGGTCCCGCTTCGTGTGACCCGAGACCTCGGGTAAACGAGCTGGGTAGTTTTCCATATAAACGCAACAGGGAGGGCTAGCCCTCCTAGTAGGGCTGGAAATTTAGCAAATACGCATGCGCAAATAATTAGAATAATTCAGAATGCACAAACAACTCCCATATAAGGAACCAACTTCCATATATGGAGTTGTTTACGCCAAAAAAAATTAGAACACGAAGAGCCAGCCCTTGATGTAAGTTTCATGTAAACGCGTGGTGAAATTCATCTCGGGGATGCAAGCCAGCTCGGGTACCCGGACTTTGTGCCACTATCGTCGAGGAAACTCGTGCGTATATGTAAATAGTTGTATGCCTGTATAGATATAGGCTAGCTCTTGTAGCAGATACCATTTAGTGTTAATCATAATTAGAAGAAAATAGAGTTAATTCGTTTATTCAGTTGTGTTCGTGGCGAAGAGGGCGTATTAAATAGAGGTGTCTACAAATTTGCGAGAAATATGAAATGAATACTCTAATCGAATTTGCCTTTTAAATATTTGTGTTATTAACTTTTATTGTTGTCATACGAGGAAGTTTCTAAAAATCGTTATTCGATTATAGTATTCATTTCGCATATTTCTCGCAAATTTATAGACACCCTTTTACACCCGTTTTCAAAATTACGCGACCTCCCAGAAAAATACTCTTTACTTCAAATGTCAATTTTATGTCACAAAAACTGCTAAAAATAGCAAACGTAAACCACAAGCGGCCCAATCTCAGAATGAATGATCAGGTGTTGCGGGTTTTTAACGTTTTTTATAAACAAATTTATATTCAACCAAAACTATTTTAAAAACATTCTTAAATTAGTCAAATAAATGCATTTTAACAATAAAATATAGTTGACATGATAGTATATTACCTTTGCATTCTTTTAATTACTCCATGAGCTCATTTAGAGCGGTTGATGTAACATTTTCTGTGGCCTACATTGTGTGTGCTCGTCTATATATAATATAACAGTAAAAGGCTAATCACTGGCGGCCCGACCGCTTCGCCTTCAAAGTCAAATATCTCCGCTCAAACTTCTCGTACGCCAGAACAAATTCGATTACATCGTTTCACAAAGATTTCTCTTTCTAAAGAATATGGTTTGATCGTAGTTTGGGCAAATTTAGCGACAAACGGAACCAAAATCTCCTCAAATTCGGATACTGTTCAAAATACTTAGGGCTGCTCGGGCACGATCGTGGACGTGACGTAATCAATACATACTGACAATAACGCCTTACCCGGGGTGGGACAGCATATCAAATTTGACGATAGTTTGTCGCTTGATGCCAGAGGAGGAATGAGGGTCTTCCCGAAATGCAACGCGCGAATCAGTGCGGCTCATTATTATTCAAGCTATTTATTCTCAACGCGCCGTTCGATTAAAAACTGTTGAAATATATTGCGATTTTTGCCGTGAAGATCTCGTTTTCTCAAAGGTATGTTTCGATAACCTTTTTGTTTAGTTATTTAATAAAAGAAGTTTTGAATAATTTTTTATATATATCGCATTTTACTTATGTTAAATTCCGATTGTATTTATGCATGTTTTGGGTGTTGGAAAAGTGGCATTGAAATATTCTGGAGTAAATTGTACTTTTTTACAAGGAAACTAAAATAAAATTACATCAGTGAATTCAGGAATGTTTACTCTTTATATTGATACTTTAAAACATGAATTTACTCCATAAAACCGAAGAGTTATCGCGGTTTGAAAATGAGCAATTTTTGCTAATTATCGAATATAGCAAAAATAGCTCATTTTCAAACCGCGATAACCACAGGCGGCCCAATCTCGCAAGGGTCAGTATAGACTTTATACAGTATAAATTTATATTATATTAATTGTATATTATAGTAAAAATATGTCATAAAATATAAATTTTAAAATGAAATTGACTTGCCTATTTGATAGTGTGTGTTCTCCTTGTATTCCTCCTTTGTTGGACTAATATTTTCCCAGACCTTGTACTCGATGCATATGTTACTAGTATACATGAAACATGATAAAGGCTAACGATTCCCGATCGTCGATACGACGGCACGGCACTTCGAATCGAAAATTTCACACTCAAATCGCTTTATTCTCAAAAAAAATTCGCCAGCATGTACAACAAATGCCGTTCTTCGAAAATACAGAGGTATTTCGGCGAGATGTACAAGTTTTGGACCATATTTTAACAATGGAAATCAAAACCCATTTTATATTGAACTTACCCGGACCGAAAATTACTACGGCGAACGTCTGCGCAACCAGGCCTCCTTTACCGTTGGATTTACAGGGGGGAAGCAGATATTTCCGGTAACAGCCAGCCAATCGCGGCCGCGTAGCGACTGTTTACATTATTTGAAATTTGATATTCAAAATAAAAACTCCTTCGATCGGATACAGTATAAAACTCGAGATGTTGTCGAAGAAAAGAAAATTAAACGACGGAGATTGAAGAAATTTAAGGAAGAAGTAATATACAGCGGCTCTTTGTTGGAAAGTATGGTAGAATATGATACTTTAATTCGAAATATTATCGTGAATATATTAGTGGCATCCTCCCCCCTGTAAATCCAACGGTAAAGGAGGCCTGGTTGCGCAGACGTTCGCCGTAGTAATTTTCGGTCCGGGTAAGTTCAATATAAAATGGGTTTTGATTTCCATTGTTAAAATATGGTCCAAAACTTGTACATCTCGCCGAAATACCTCTGTATTTTCGAAGAACGGCATTTGTTGTACATGCTGGCGAATTTTTTTTGAGAATAAAGCGATTTGAGTGTGAGAATTTTCGATTCGAAGTGCCGTGCGGTCGTATCGACGATCGGGAATCGTTAGCCTTTATCATGTTTCATGTATACTAGTAACATCGAGTACAAAGTCTCGGAAAATATTAGTCCAACAAAGGAGGAATACAAGGAGAACACACACTATCAAATAGGCAAGTCAATTTCATTTTAAAATTTATATTTTATGACATATTTTTACTATAATATACAATTAATATAATATAAATTTATACTGTATAAAGTCTATACTGACCCTTGCGAGATTGGGCCGCCTGTGCGATAACTCTTCGGTTTTATGGAGTAAATTCATGTTTTAAAGTATCAATATAAAGAGTAAACATTCCTGAATTCACTGATGTAATTTTAGTTTAGTTTCCTTGTAAAAAAGTACAATTTACTCCAGAATATTTCAATGCCACTTTTCCAACACCCAAAACATGCATAAATACAATCGGAATTTAATATAAGTAAAATGCGATATATATACAAAATTATTCAAAACTTCTTTTATTAAATAACTAAACAAAAAGGTTATCGAAACATACCTTTGAGAAAACGAGATCTTCACGGCAAAAATCGCAATATATTTCAACAGTTTTTAATCGAACGGCGCGTTGAGAATAAATAGCTTGAATAATAATGAGCCGCACTGATTCGCGCGTTGCATTTCGGGAAGACCCTCATTCCTCCTCTGGGCAGTGAGAGTTAGCGATAGTGGAAGTCAAATCTGAACCTCTCTAATAACTTTGGTACGAATACAATCGTTACTACCATTTTCGAGCTTCCGTGAAGCGTGCATTTATAACTAGGTTTTAAAACGTTTCTTCAGCATGAGTTTGTCATTCAAAACTTTTTATTTCGCTCCTAAAACATTTTGTTTTGACATAATAACTTCTGTGGGCGTGGTATAAGACATATTGTTTTGCACGCGAAACTTTGAATTTCGGCGTCAAAACTCAAAAGGGCACTTGTATTACAGAGGTTTGTTACGTAAACATATCCAGAAGGTGCTATAAATCTGTTATTTCGCTTTCTATAGCAATTTTGTCAGTATAAAGTCAGTCCGTGTGAAAAATAAGAAGAAATTTTCGCGTGCAAAACAATGTGCTTGACACCACGCCCACAAAAGTCACTATTACAAAACAAAAAGTTATGATTGACAAACTCATGCTGAAGAAACGTTTTGAAACGTAGTTATAAATGCACGCTTCACGGAAGCTCGAAAATGGTAGTATCCGTGTCATGAAGCAGACAAACAGTGCGAAGCATCAAATAACTGTGGATGGAACCAAAACCATGGTAAATTTCGTGGACATCTTATGCAACACGAGCAAAAGGTAATGAACTACAAACGATTTGACAAGTTTTAAATGCAATATAAAAAGTAAACAACAATTCTGAATTGATACAAGCCCACACCAAACTGAACATCATTATTGATAAAAATAGAGCTCCAATGGTGAAATTTCTATTTACAATTTACAAATCTAGGAGGCATGTGCCTCGTCACTTTTGCCGGGTGTGATGTCCCCGTAAAAAATTCTATAATTCCATGGAACTAAACATAGTCACTTTCCTGCTCAACAAGTTCCCCGACTTGAATGTGTTGTTCACATAACCCGTTTGACTGGTCAATCTGGATTGTGGCGGTAACTTCCTGTTCGTGTTCCATAGCTACTTCATCTTCCGTGATATGGTTCCTAGTTGCCTCAATATCATCATCCGCTTGAGCCACAATATCACCCTCTTGTGACACCATATCATCTTCTTGTGTCACCATAGCCTCTTGTGCAACAATATCACCCTCCTGTGGGACCATATTACCCTCTTGTTGCACCATATCACCCTCCTGGGCTACCATATTACCCTCTTGTTGTACCATATCACCCGCTTGTTGCGATACGTGACCCATTATTGCTCGATGAATTTCACGCTGATTCTCAGGACATGTGACATTTGCCAGTAGATCAAGGTCTCCACCGACCTTCATCTCATTGTAATCATCATCATAAATAATGCCACCAAGATTTTGCTTTTGTGCCCGCAATACTTTACATTTTGTGCTGATGCTGTACAAACATTTCTTCCAAATAGCTTCTTGTAGTTCAATCGGTTGATCACGGGCAAATCGATTAACAATTTCCTCTGTTAAATAAAATGTTAAACAGTGTTGTGAGTTCGGGCCTATATGATCAGAGGATACTCCATATACTTTCGTATCATATAGCCAATCATAACATGCAAGGTGATTTTATTGCTGGATTATAGTAAATGGCACGGAGCAGCAGGTAGTGTGCATGGGAGTCGCGGGGGATGAGGGGAAATTTTGGAGTGGGAAAATTCATTTTTGTTTATAGAATAAGGATTGTTTTGTTAACTGTTCAGTGGAATGAGGAATGTTTTCAAAACGTGACATTAGAAAACGGAATCTTCAGTTTTAACACTTTAATATCGAATTTTTATGTGTTTTTCCAACATGATTTTTTTGTTATTTTACCAAATTCCCTTTGGAAATGTGGAATTTCTAAGCTCTATATTAATTAATTCCACTCTGTGGCCGAACAATATATTTGTAAACGAAAAATATTTAAAAATTTGGGCACAAGATTTAACGTAGAAACAACATTATTTCATGGGTTAACTTAATATTCCTGGTTAAATGTCCTGGTTATTTTATCACGCAACCAGATTCTTGCATGGTTACAATACAATGTAACCATGCAAGAATCTGGTTGTATTTGACCAGGACTAGGTTAGGTGGATAAATAAACATGCAAGGGCCCCTGGTTATTTATCCACCTAATTTATCCACCGAAGATACAGTAGTTTGTAGAGGTGTGCATCGGATCGGATTGGACGTTTATAATCCGACAATTGGCTAATGTTTAAAATCCGATCCGAAATTGTCTAATCCGAATCCGATCCGAGCTTTGATAAAAAATTCCGATCCAATGAATCCTTTAATAAAATAAATTTCTCATTCAAGTTGAAATATTTAACCAAATAAATATAAAAGCAAGAAATACATGTCAAGAAGCTGACAAAGTGACGTCCAATTGAAGTATCAAACGAATAATGCAGCGACAACCGCGATAATGCTTTGATAAATGCATGGATAATCAATTCTTGTGATAATGCGTGGATAACTAATTCATTTTATTTCGAATATCGAAGTCCGATCCGAACCGATCCGACTACGAAACAACTTTATCAATCCGGAACGAATCCGATCGGATCGGATTTGCACACCTCTAGTATAGTTTGGTTAATTCAACCAGGAAGTCTTGGTCAAATTAACTAGACTATATATAGTAGGAGAAAGGTCAAAATAACCAGGAACATTACAGTAAGTTTATGGTTAACCAGGAAAACATTAACCAGAATGATATTTTCTGTGTTGGTGCAATGTACTCAGGTGAATAAGATGCTTGTGATGTTACTCTGAGTGTATATCCACACCGGGCAAGCTTGAAAAATATGCCTGACCACGGCGGGAATCGAACCTACGACCTTTGGAATGCTAGCCCAATGCTCTGCCAACTGAGCTACGTCGTCTGGTCGGTTCGAGTATGTGATATTTCGGAACAGAATCTAGTTCCTTCGATATCAATGTAATCTAGTAATAATGATATTTTCTGTGTTGGTACAGAAAATATCATTATTACATTATTACATGGTACCAACACAGAAAATATCATTATTACTAGATTACATTGATATCGAAGGAACTAGATTCTGTTCCGAAATATCACATACTCGAACCGATCAGACCACGTAGCTCAGTTGGCAGAGCATTGGGCTAGCATTCCAAAGGTCGTAGGTTCGATTCCCGCCGTGGTCAGGCATATTTTTCAAGCTTGCCCGGTGTGGATATACACTCAGAGTAACATCACAAGCATATTAACCAGAATGTTCTTAGAGTGTATAGACGGTACAGCCATTCAATTTAACCAGGGGCGGATCTACCATGGGGGTGCGCACCCCACCTTCTAGTGCCCCCCCCCCTAGAGAAGTCCAGCACCACCCTAAAAATATGCTTGACCATACATTTTCTGCTTTTCGAATAGCGATTAGCGGAAATTCTGCTGTTAGCGCGTGTCGATTTCTTGAAACGATTTGGTTGATTTGTAAGCCTACGAGAGCATACTCAGAATGCTTTAGTTGAATTAAATATGTAAACATGTTGAAGGTTGTTATACTGCCACATTTTCAAATGTACTGCACTTTACCAAACAAATTTACTGTACTGTGCTACAGCAACCGTCCAGTCATGCACGCATACGTGATAAAAGCCGATATAAACCTTATAAACAAAAGGTAATGTAAAACGTAACAGAACAGAGAACATGCAGGTTTGGTCATCTCAAATCATGGTAATGTTGGGATAGTATAGCGGTGCAAACTGCTGAGGAGAGTGGGCAGTAAGGCTATGCACCACCCGATGGAAAACCTGCACTCCTCCTTGCAGATGAGGCTAGATCCGCCCGTGTATTTAACACATCTTAACTATCCTTCTCCATTTGACTTGCAGCACAGCAAGTACCTACACAGCCTGTTGATACAGATACGGGGCGAATTTACAAATCCAAAGATAGGACAATTCATTGCATATATTCACTGCAACATTTAGTAAAGGTTTTAAATACAGTAGAGTATAGAATATTGCTCACCTCTGATTGCCATTAACTTATCATTGTCGAGTCTCTCCGTTCCTTCTCTGCCGGTTATTGTAGATCCCAGCATCACATCATACCCAAACACCTTCTCCGCTAACCGCAGTGCTAGAAATGTTGCCTTCTTACCACGCTTAACTGCTTCGCTCAAATCTTCTTTCTGAATAAGGACGCTCGGCGAGCCTCCAAGTGGGACTAAAATACACAATTAAAACACTTAACATCCATGTCTTGCATTGTCAGTCGTCGACAGCACAGCTGTTGAATCATGTTGCATAGCATGTGGTGGAAAATGGTTCACAACTAAGGATTTAAGCCCCAGTCAAACGAGGATGAAAGTTCAGAGAGGTGGCAGTCACAAATTGTTACGGGGGTTTGATGAGTGTTCCAACTATGTTTTATCTTATATACTGAGTATAAATGATAGTGTTGGGAAAGCATTAAGAACAGCTATAACCGCGTGACTTTCCAACTCTCATGCTCGTTTCATACGGGCTTTAGACACATTTGTTTTGAATGTGTGATCATTGTCTAGCAAACATATTGTCTTCGTACGTTTAACCCTTCAACCTGCAAGCATGGACAAGCTAGCTATCTATAGTCAGAAAAGCAACTCCACATGCAGGCAACAAGTAATTCTTTTTTGCCCACCTTGAGGAAATGCGCTTAAGATACGATGTTTTTACAACAATGTTTTCGAGGTTGTGTATATATAGGAAACCATTTGAGGAAGCAATTTTGTACATGAAACAATAGCTTGAAATCGAGGCGGACAATGTAAATAAATAGTTTTCATTGGAAGATAAGTATCTATTTTTATCCGATAATTTCTATTTTATCTTGTAAATTAAAGCACAACCCAACGGGATACAATCACTGATGGATACAATGAAGTAAGATCTATAAATAAATATGTGGGATTTAAAGGAAAAGACAGAAGTTAAGATGTATCAGTTTTATCACAGCCAAATAATGAATGTATGCAACAGGGGTGGATCCAGCCAAGACCTGGTGGAGAGCGGGGATGGGGGGTGGGGTGCTCATCGTTCCGGGTGCGACCGTTTACGAAGTTCATAATCATTTGGAGCTACGCACAGCGGTGTTCTGTAGAATGGGCGACACCATAGGCGTACCAGACAGGGGGCCACTGCCACCCCCCCTCCAATTTTGGAAAACCATGGAAATTCGGCCAAATGCTAGGAAAAATCAAGAAAATTCGGGTAATTTCATTACAATCCATCTCCACAAAAATTCGGACAAACTTTCAACCTGGCACCCCCGGAAAGCATCAGCCCCGTACTTCTATGGGCGACACATTGCCCTTGGAAGGGTTCAGGGACATTGCCTTTCCAAATTGAGAAATGAATTGGATAATGAAATTGGCAGCCCCTTTGCCAAGGCTAAGGGGGCCTGCACCCCCAGTACATCCATCCCTGGTATGCAAACGTTTGCACGACATACAGTAGGGCAGTGAAAGGAATACAAACCTAAGTTAATCTGCGGTGGTGTTTGGGCGACGTTTAAAGATTTGTCGACCTCCAGGGTAACATTAGCCTGCGTTGTAGATATACTTTGAGCTGCAGTATTCTCCTCACTTGCGTTGGTAATTGGCACCAAAGCCAGGGTTTCCGGATCACTACACGAACTGCTCGGATTCAGAAGTTCCGGTTTCAAGGCTCGTCCAGATCGCAATACCTGACATCTTTTACCAACACTTAAAAGACATTCTTTCCATTTAGCTTCGCGTTCATCAAGAGTACCATTAGCCATGAATCGGGCCATCACTTCCACTACCAGGACGAAACGAGATGGATAAATAAGGTAAGACTGTTCCGATATATATATATATATATATATATATATATATATATAAGTTGAATATTATTACATTGTAGTTGAGCATTACAGGGTTTGAAATACAAGCATCTTGAATTTAGATATACTTGTAGGCTATTTGGTATATACACGTGCCTTTTTGGTACCGGCGATATTTTTCAGGTTTACGCCGAATATGAACGGACATGTGATCACATATACGCGGAAAATTCCCCGGCATGTACATAACCCTGCAAGCCCAGAGGCGGAGGCCCAGTACCAATCAAGATTGTCAGAAAAATTACAAAATGGCCGGCCATGGTTTCCTCTATGGCTTTTTGCGCATCATGCATGCTGGGCGTTCATTTTCATCATATACGATTACGATTCCCGCCTGGTTCACCGCTGCACGTAATCATGCAGTTATATGTCAAGACAGAATCTTTATAATTGAGTACCTATAAATTCATCGTATCGATCAATGGATTACAGAGAAAAAGTTGGAGTTTCTAATTTAAAAGTCACCAGCTATAGTGCTGTAAGAATGCCAGCCACAGCCGGCTGCTATCTTATAACCTGCATCAATTTCACTTATTACAGACCATATATAAGATTGACGTTTACGACTGCTAACCGCAAACTTCAATTTGTATTTTGAGGTCAACTGTTAGCTCTTCGAAGTTAAGACAAATTGTGCATCAAAGTTGAAGCATGAATTAGCTACTGTACTTAGCTGTCGAAAACTTGTAAAACTTACCTTCAAATCCAATTTGAAGTTTGCCGTTTGTGATTAACGGTCTGCCGTAAACGCCAATATTAAGGTCTCAATTGTAACACGGATCAAATAATGGTTATTTAGAACATTTACCTCGAATGGCACTTAATTTGTCAACATCGAGTTTCTCCAGTCCAGTCTGCTGGCCCGAGACAGTTGATTGAGACAATACATCCAAACCAAATATCTTCTCCGCAAGACGTACAGCAAATCTTCGAATGTTTTTACCACGATAATACGCATCATTGTACTGCTGTCGCGTTAACATGATGTTCGGACTTTGCCCTATAGGAACTATAGTGGGAAAATGGGTTAGAAGAAAAAAGATGCGAACATTTTGTGCATTTAAAAGAGCGACTGCGTGCGAATTATAGGTGAGTATGAGTGTGTTAATCATCCTTATACTTGCAGCTGAGAGCTTAAGCTGAATTGCGAAGAACACAGCTGAACATGATCGATTTGAAGGATTTCTAACAGCAGCCCCCTTATGACTTATATCTGACTACAGAGCACAGCTATGGCTCATCTTAATTGCATGGAGCTTATCCCACGGGTTACTTTAATTGGGGCTTATCCCAATCCACCCTTGTCAATATTCCCTGTGGGAAGAAACCAGAGTACTCGGAGAAAACCCATGACTTTCGGTGGAGCATTGACTGACTCTTTTCACATTAATTGACATGAGCGGGTCCGCATCGAACCCACGTACGATTTCAGAGGTGAGAGTTGCCTACTCTGAAGATTACCCCATCGAAGTCCCTTACACTACAAGTAGTAAAGTTAACCAATCGAATAACAGGAAGTTCGGAAAATATATCAGACCCTTCTTTCCATTTCATCATTTCGCGACGGCATACAGTACAAGACTAGGACAAAGAGATTTGAAGCAATTCTAGCGCTTCAGGGCTGGGGGCTATATTTTGTTGTTGTTGTTGTTGTTGTTGTTGTTGTTGTTGTTGTTGTTGTTGTTGTTGTTGTTGTTGTTGTTGTTGTTGTTGTTGTTGTTGTTGCTCTTTTGCGACGTAATCTAAGCTTAACTGCACAGAAAACGGCAAAATGAAATAAGTTGATTAACATTTACACATCATCAATCTTTCCCACTACCGCAGAATACTATATACAGTTCTCACCAAATACACAGTTGGGTAAAAAAGATGCCTTCACCAACCATGCCGTGGAAAGAAATATGAAAATTTACTACTAACCTAAGCTGTATGGTGACAACTCCATATCTGTAGGACCACTGACTGTAATCAATGGTAAAATATGTTTGTGTTCTGGAGTTGAGGAGTTATGTTTTCCCAACAGCGACTGCACATTGTTATCTTTGCCTGCTGCATTAGAACGAGAGGTGGATGGTACATTCTTTCCTTTGCCTTTTCCAACATCGTCCTTTTCATTTGATTTGCAAACGGGAGATAACGAGGAACTGTTGGGTACGGCGTTGGAAGCAAGTAAAGATATCAGGGTGTCAATCTTAGCGTTTTGTTCTGCTAGCTTTCTTCGGTTCTGTCGTTTTGTTTTCTTCACAATCTTCTTAATACTTCGCAGGCTTGAGACGAGTTTGTTTAATTTGTTTTGTTGATCTGCTATCACTTCCCTTAATTCCGTTTGAACCGCATAGACTTCCTCCTAAATTGAAACGATGATATTACATTATCACTTCAGTTGATGTATGAGAAACAATGGATGCACTCAGAAATGCAACTATAGACGTAGAAAAATTGAGCTACACTCATGTTACTGGTATATAGAATAAATTAATTGTATCTATGAGCCCAAATATAGTATTATTTGGAATTGACTGAGGTTCACAGGTAAACACGCCACCAAAATACATAAGCTTGGTTTTTCATACAGTAGTAGCTAACAGAGATTTACTGCAGTAATGAATAATAAAATGAATAATCAAAGAAAACATGAGTGGACATTTGAACATGCAATAGCATAGCACATAGAAACAAAGGGATCATAAATAATGAAGATTGTATGATGCTGTACACAATTGCTTGGGACCGGAGTATGCCATGCAAGGAGATAGGAGAGGCGCTGATGGTATGGAAGGATGGGCAAGATTAATTAATAGTCCTTTGCATAAATGCTAATATAAGTCAAAACAATGGATGGAATAAAGAACAATTTAAAGTTAATGGAACATTCCCATCACTGGATCGTGACTGAATGGCACCATGAATTGTTTCAATACTGCAGCTATTGATGCACTACGCGGACATCTTAGAGCTAAGTGATGTGTATAGGGCCCAATGAGAACGAATGCAGTGCCAATGCCAATGAAATGTAAAGAAAAAGACCTACACAAAATATTTCACAGTATTAACAAAGTCCCAATGGCAGAAGGCATTTTCTAAGTATGCATGACGCTTCAGGTATCTCCGGAGAAATAAATCTAAGAACAAGGGAATCGTACGTAGAGCAGCTATTTGCGCTCAGGCTCGTGTGCTATGACACCATTTCCGAAGTATGGGCTCATTAAGCTGAGTTTTTTCTACTCATTATAGCTCATTCCGGCGGCTAAGCCTGGGTACACTCCTATCTTTTCTCAGTAAAAACTTTTGTCTCCACAAAATGGCGGATTTGTAAGGGAATTTTGGTTAGTCCCAGATCTTTAAGGGAAGGAGATAAAATATGGAAAAATCTGAAACTTCTGAACAGAATATATACATAAATACACTTTCAAGGTTGCTGTGAAAGCATGTGTTAATTATTATTTCTATGGAGAAAACGACCCACACACATCCCAAAAAATTACTTAAGTCGTACACGTTCTGAGGCATAAGCCATACTAGAATTTTGACCCGCACCCTAATTTCGCTGAGCATAAATGTAGGCGAGTGTTTTGAAAGAGGATACTGTTTTAGTAAGATTTTTAACTGATACTGCAGGTAGTGAGGTAGGAATTCATATTGATCAAAATTCTATACTGTACATTTTGATAGTTACATAAAGCTAGCTGCATAACTGAGCACATCCAAATAATATCAGAAAAGTACAAAATGACTCAAATTACCTAGTTCATAAATGGAAAAATAGTTTTCAGGCAAAACGTTCTTGATTCCAAAAGTAACAGGAAAACTGATCAGCACTTGTCTCTGAAAACATTTTTCGCCGCCCTTCACCCTCACGAAAACACGTCAAAGCAAAAAGCACTGGTTGCAACGCAAAAAAACACGTGGCTCGCTATATTTCACTTCTTCTTTTGGATTTCATAAATGACTATAACCTCTTGCATACAGCCAGTTTGGTATGCATGCAGCAATTTCAGAAATATATACAGTGTTATGCACTCGGCAATTTCAGAAATATATACAGACTACAATCACTAAGTATAAGGAGCCCCAACTATAAGCAATATCAAATTCTGTACTACTTTAGACGTGCATGCAAGCACGAGAAATGTTCCTTCTGGCAACCTATACGCTAATGGTCTAAAACGCTCTGCAAATTTGCAAAATGTTTCTATAATACATCATATTTATTCAATGATGGTTTTAATTTTTAAAATGTATTTTTTTGTACCGCAAAGGAACTACAACAGTATAAGTATATATACTACAATAATCGCAGAGCCACAGTATACAGGTATACAAACCTTCGCGATACAAACAGTGGTTGGCAAGAGAGTATAGATCGAGATTATACTGTACTGCAAGTTCGGGCAATAATATTGACACCGCTACGTTAGTTACATGTACTGTAGATCTAAAGAAGGGTGTTCAGACGTTTGATTTCAGAACCATCCTCAGAGATATGAAAAACTAGTTTCATATAATTGTGACACGGCAGATAAAACAACGTAAACTTCGTTGTCTCGAGCGGAACTCGAACTCACATCTTCGAGTTCTAGACTGCCAGTTTCTGTAAGTGTAAATGCGCCTAATTTCTGTCACGGGTTCAAATACATCGTATATCTCAAGTATTGGGAATTTAATAAGCACAAACACAAACTAATGCTAGGCTACTGTTCGCTGCAGAAGAACAATGAGAGATGATGGGATCAGCCTTGTTGTGAAATTTTGACAAAACCTCTAGATAGGCTTACTCATACTACTTGGCTATACGACTTTACTCTATAACCCCGTGCATGCTATCGTATGTACTGTAGAAACTCTCTCTATATTTAAATATTCTCTGGGTAAAGGCGCATGCACGTCTAATGGTCTTGTGAAAATGATCTAAATCGTAATAAAATCTCTTGAATTCACGGTCTTGGTTTGTGTTCACTCTGAAATCACGACTGCATGAGTGAAAACGTGCATGTCTGAGTATAAAGTGGGCACTTCGCGCGCATGCGCTGTTACGAGGAGAGCGCTCCAAAGCTGGCTTATGGGGTAAAACGTTTCATAATATCTTAAGTACAATGCAAACATAATATCTTAAGTACAATACAAAAAACTGAGTATTTTGACTCAAAACTTGAGTAAAATAATGTACCCATACAGGGACTCAAAATATTGGATAAACTTATTCAAATTTATGAGCAAATTTGCTCATTTTTTTAGTAAACTTTCAAATCTACTCATTTTTTTGAGTAAAGATTTACTTTACTCAAGAAATGAGTACGTTTGATCATAAATTTGAGATATTTGAGTCACTGTGGGTGTTTACTGAAGTTTTTTAATCAAAATACTCAGGCCTCAGGGACATTTTTGTACTGCATTAGTAAAAATTAAAATAGGAAGGTACTGATTCACATACTTGTGGTAAGCAAACAGAAGCAGCTTTATCATCTTCACTCGTCAACTTTTGCGCAAGATCAGTCCAAATCTAAAACATTTAACAGAAAACTTTCATAACTCAACATTTATTTCTTAGTAAAATACAATCGAGCTTTATTAATTTTGATACTTTATTAAAATATAACTCGAAAACTAAGCGGAAAAATACGTCGTGTAAAAAAACCCTAATAAATTAAAATCTAAAATGGGGTAAACTTGAATTTTTGATATCTTGGTAGTGGGGAGGGGAAACTTCCGTTGCAAGAATACTTTTAAGTTTGGAGATTAACTTTAGAATTTTCTAAACATGCCATGTAAAAAAAATTAAAAAATTATAGTTGCAGGAATTTTTTCTTTCCCTAAATGCTTGCATGAACTTTTTTCAAATTCCACTCCTTGCATAATTTTTTTTTATTTTCATGCCACCCCCCTCCCACGATATCTAATGGACCACCCATGAAAATTAGCCATGCGAAAGAGAGGTAACTTAAACTTATGCTATATTAAAGGTTGCGTGTATAGTTAAGGCGTACACTCAGGTATATGAAAGATTATAATGCGGTATAAAATAGCCGTTGGAATTTTCTTAATTAAACAGCAACGGCGAATAGGGAAGTGAATAATGCTCATATACAATAAATGATGTGCATATTTTACAAGGTAAGTGACTGAGATAAAAATTATGTCGAAACGTAATCACCGTAAACACATTGTTTCGATAATTACGTCATTAATCTTCCATGAACGGGAAGCCTCGCTTTCATGAATCAAGAAGAAAGGCTATTCGCTCACGATAAATGAAAACATGGATATTAGTTAGAAAAGTGGATAACAAAGGAGGACCAGGAGGCTCATTTTCATCACGGATCATAAAAACACTGGATAGGAAACTTATGATCACGTATGATGTTTTAAGCGTGCTGATGGCGTCTCAATTCACGTTTAGCAATAATACAGTCAAAACGCGTTAGAATACAACCATGCCACTCCAGGATGGAATATCTAAAGCATGTTGGTGATTTTCAGGGAACATATCAAGCATTAGACGGTGAAATATAACAACAATAGTTTTTTTTTCAAAAGTAGTTTTTGTGACGCCAATTTCTTGATCACAGAAGTAAAAACCTAAAACAAAGACGAACAACAATACCTGGAATACTTTGTCGTGGCACAAGCAAGTTTAAAACTCAAAGACAAGGAAACCATTTTGAATCTTAATATATGGGGAAATGGAAGAAAAACGCAGTAAAACTTTACTATACAGTACTGGTTGTAATCGTGACATCACAATTTCAAATAGGTCACGTCTGCTGACGTCAGCTGTAGGCCATGGAGAGATTTACATTATAACGTAATTATCGAAAGTATATATTTAATAAAGTATAAAATTATAGAGTCAAGACTGAAGTGTAAATGAATACAAACCTCAATTGGAGCTTTGATAATATTAGCAGATTGGTTGGCCTGGTTATCTGATGAGCAAAAAAAAACACATAAACCAATTCAGAGTCTGCATGCATGTCCAAATGACGCGTCGCGATAAGTTGCAGTTGATTCATATCATGTAGCTGCGAGAGTATATAACTGTTGCGGGTAACAATTAGTCGCGGGTAACAATTAGTCGCGGGTAAAAAGTCGCGCGCGGTACCAGGTGGAGATTAGCAAAGGTTTGGTTCGAGGTTTTCTATTTTCAAGGCAAATTAACGTTTCATAAATAAATTGGGCAATCCCCCCACCGTTCCGATTTCGATCTAGCCATATCAGTTCATAACCTGGTTTTCGACCTCAGAGCTATGTATAGAGCTGTCCATAATATGTCAAAAAGTTGATTGTACATATATAAAGATTCGCAGTTCCTCTATATGCTTTAATAAACAGGTAGTACTGGTAATGTCTAAATGACCAACCGTGAAACCCTTAAGTTTTGGATAAGCGGTTTCGATTTCATGAGTAATCGGGTTTTGTGGTTCTGTGGGATTCTCTGCGAGGTTATAGTCTAAAGTATTTAGTCAATGACTTAAATACATCAATTTAGAGAATAACACAAATAATGGTTTTATGAACTGATAACTTGTTTAGCGATACGACATCAATTTCCGCCATCTTGCATGGCTTCGCTTTTCTCGTATAGGTTGAATGACTGAAGTTCTCGCTCCAGAAATATAGAGCTCACTGTTATATACTGTGCGAAACACTGTTTTGAAACGAAACGAACTACAATTAACCATTACCCAGGCTCTCTCTCTATTCGCTGCTTTGATATATTTAAATAAGTCTTAAAAGTTTTATGCCTGGGTGTGCTGTGCGGAACGCTTCAGCGAGAGAGCCTAGCAGATTTCGGTAACATGGTCCCTGATTAAAAAAAAGTGGTCCCTGGCCTGGTAGTTACCAAGCATACCGCATTTGTAAATAGAAAATGATATGGAAATTTCCTTTGTTTTTGCTCTGCTATCGGAACAATGAAATAGGCTACATTTCGCTACCATACAGTCAGAATGGAATAACGGACTAAATATGACTTGTGTTTACTAAAATATAAAGCCACATTAAATGCTATCTAGAAGCTTGGAAATTATGCCGAGTCTCCGACTAAAAATATTTTTACAACACAGTCATGTCAGGCAAATATTTCCAATCTCCTCAGCTAATTAAACCCGTCAAGTAGAAAGCGTAGTTGTGTATACCAGTGTGGTCTAGTGTTGATCACAACTTGGGAGTATATAAATAACATCAACGATTATACGACCATTGCTCAGACTCAGTATCGCAAATTTGTATATAAATTTTTTTATTGAGCACATTTCTAATACAGTTTGAATTTGGTTATGTAGACATCGAACATGATCAACGAACTTTGTCGTATTTACAAGGTTATTTGTATATATAAATTTTCCGCCATATTAAAAATACTGAAATCTGCTAGGCGTTCTGAAGCACCTTTAGCGGTGACGTCACACCTAGATCCTAGTCTCGTACTACATCTACGATTTTACTCGCGCTTGCTTCAGAACGACTGGGACTAGGCTGACCATTACCCATTTTTGGTGTTTACGTGCAAACAGGAAATAGCGTAACATAGGGCGCTTTCCATTAACACGGCCAGACCGGTCAAGAACGGTCAAATTGTTGAATGGAACACAAAACATTTGGGCTTTGGACCTATCTGACCGGAAAATTTAGATAACATTAGAATGAGGTCCATTTTCGCTAGATATTTGAGAAACATAGACCAGATCTTTCCATTGATACAGAAAAAAGAATTTGGGTCTGGCCGGTCAGGCCATCAAATGGAAAGCGTCCATAGAAGACTGCTATCACCTGATCACGAGTGTATTCGTAATAAAGGATAAAAAGAGGTTAAATTTATATGTAATACACAGTACCTGGTTGTTGCATGCTCAACACATACGCCTTCACCTAGGGAAAAAAGGAAAATTTAAAAACAGTCTGGAAAACGACACAACTCTCCTCATGCATGGGAGGGGGCGGAGACGCTTAAAAAAACTGTAAGTTCTCAAAAACAAGTCTATGAGAGAATAATGAAGTATAGCATACAGCTTGCGGCGCCATACTCTGTTATAACGCGGCTATAAAGTATGATTTTGATTAGAGAGGCACATTAGGGGTAAGCCTCCTGTACGAGGGATAAAACTAACCGTTTGTTGAGCATATGTACACACAGTAAGAATGAAGTATACTATGCTGATTGCGGCATGCTGCATTACCGTGGCTATAAAATATGATGGTTTTCCGCATATACGTCATAGCCAAATAGCATTTTATAGGGAGGCACATTTGGGGTTGAGTAAGCGTGCTGTAGTTCCATCAATGATAAAATATACTGGTTCATGGAACATAGGCTTTTGTAACCACGGTTATACGTTATACAGTACTAATGTCTACAGTCTCTCTCAATCTATAAACTGTTTAGATAAAGTGAAAGAGGATGGTTGTCCAATACTATCGATTTTAAGAATCTTGACAATTCCATTTTTTGTATTTTCGAAAGGAAAAACGTTATTCGTGAGTCATACTCAATAAAAATAATTTTGTGCAGAAGATATACAATTGTGAAAAGTCACGAAATATCCATGAGCCAGTAAATATACACAAATAAAACTTGTATAATTTATGTGTATGACTCTTAATGCATTATGCTGGCTCTTGTTTCCGTTATAAGAATCCTGAACGACATACTGTACCCCACGAAAAATTACCCTAATCCCGTTGTAGCGAGGTATTCTACTTCGAATACCATACCCCAGCTGTGAAAAGACTCGGGGTACGAGTTGCCCGGGGATGGTGTCTGCTAAAAACTACCATAGTCATATGATATACAAACATATAGTTCTCTCATTGGACATATGTGTTCCTGGTAGGAGCATTACGAAATTTATTGGACTCGCAAAATTCACAGCATTCAAAATTGTCCATAACATAAATTAATAAACTGCAAGAATTTCTACCATTCATGTATACGATGCACGATGTGATTTGTCGTGTACGATTCGTATTCTGGCGTACAGTATGTATAATCGAATAACCATGCATATAAAGTGGTTGCATTTCAAATTTCGCCATGAACTAAACGAAGGGGAATTGTGGTGTGAGCAGTGATTTTCAAACGCAAGATGCCAAGAATACGAATCATACGGCGTCGCACGCCTTAAGGGTATATATGCATGCAGTTAAGTAGTAAATGCACAGTAAACGTAACATTTCAATGTGAAATACCTGATTGATATCTTTTGATGGCACTGCGCTGGCTATTACATCCCAATCAAATTGACCACCATCACTAAATAATACATATGTTAAATGAAAGTGAAAAATTGGAATCATTTTACAGGTGTATTCCCTACCAAAGAAACGATTTGGACAGCCACTTGAAAAAAAAAAGAGGTTCAGTTTTGACTACCACTTGCAATACCTCTCACTGGCTTATACGCATTTGATTGGTTAACTGGATATATCAAACGCATCTGATTGGTTAATAATCCACGATGGTAGCGATAGTCAAATCAGAATCTCTATATTAGAGACCTTACGATTTTAGGACGGCAACGCGGCGACGACGACGGCCAAAACAAACTCCTTCAAATAAATGGTAAAGATAATTCGTCGTATATTATCAATCGTATGAATTTAATACAGTCTTAGAAGTTGAAGACATGGGTTTTATGTTTGGGAAGAGTTCTGCTGAACCCAGTTTGAAGTTGCACTTGTTGCGGCTTGAAATGCAGCCGTTGCAATAAGACGTGAAAATCTGTGATTTGGCCGTTTTTGGCGTTGTAAACAGAGTGAGGACAATGATTAAATTATTCATATATTGTAATTATTCAATTATTTTCAATGATTTATTGTATTGGTAGCCGTTGCTGTCCTAAATCGTAAGGTCTCTAAAGACGGCGTTTGGCATTCGCTCGAAACGTCAAACGTTGAAGTTCTGCTTGTATTTTTCAGGTAGTTGTCTCTCAATCCGCAGCTGTCTTGTTATCGTCGCTACCTACACTGGCACAGGCCGTTCAATATTACTTAGATTGTCTGTGGATTTTACACGAGCGCATGGCCATTCGAAAATGGCCTACTGATACACCCTGTACTGTAGAATGAACCACCCTGTACTGTAGAATGAACCAAATTCAAATCTTACGCTTCTACTGCTTGTTTCAAAAGGTTGGTCTCTTCTTCTGTCCATTCGTGCATCCCCTGTATGCTGTCATTCACCACTGTAACAACAAATGTCGATCCTTTTCCATTCTGGTTTTCTGTATTTTCATTTTCAACGTTCACTGAACTGACGCTCCTATCCTGATGGTTAAAGGACAAAAAAAATATTAAAATATACGATCGAACCTCTCCTCATACAAGCAGGGATACACACAGGAAAAAAATCAAAAACCCATGAATGGAAAAAGTAATTTCTATCATCATGGTATGTTGATAATTCCCATTTACGAATTCAATAACCTCAAATATGAGTAACCATTAATGCAAGGCCTGGATTTTGGTGGAAATAGTGGGGGAGGTGGAAAAAAATTTAGGTAGGGGAGGTGCAGCGGTGTAGCTCACGACCCCGATGGAAAGTTAGGGCTTAGAACGGGCTAAAGTCAACGACCTGACGTATGCATACAGTGTACATATGTATCCAGTGTATTAATGAATTATGACTGTACAACTCATCCAATTTTGCCCTTCATTATACAATTACTACAAATTTTCTTTCAAAACAGTGCATTAAAAGGGTAGTTGACACAGAGATGAATGGCTATTACTAACTGTTTTAATTTTACAGAAAAACTAATTGTCAAACCAAAAAATGTCAAATTTTCACTTTGATCTATCAACTTCCCCAAAGGGAGATGCATGACTTTTCAGGGGAGGTGCAAATTCTCAGGAGAGGTGCCAAACGATCTCAGGGGAGGTGCGCACCTCCACACAAAATCCGGTCATGCATTAACGGTTCACTCTTTTCAAAATGTATGTATTTCCCATTATTCATTAAAACCATTCAAAACATTGATGTGAAAATAATACACAATTTCCATCCATGTTTTTTTTTCTACAAGCAATTTTGATTCACATTAATGGTACCATTAAAGGGTTTAATTTAAATACATAAAATACTACCAATGTACTGCATTTTGTTGGCAATATTCACATCAATATTCGTTAACATTACTGTATGTAACATACAAGTGTATGTAATATAAATAAAACTCATTCTTATCATTCATGATAAAAACTATAATCACCATGATGTAATATTAATAGAACAAACCAATCCATATCATTCATTGTAAAACTATAACTAACATCATGATGATGCATCTAATTAATATCAATAAAACTATTAAATGGTTAAAAAAAACCAGAAAGGCATTAATAATGGTAATTACTTTTCTCCTCATCCACTGATGGGTTTTACAAATGAGAATAGTATTACTGTACAGTATTTCCAATCTTCAAAACCACTAATGTTTTTTTGTGAAACCATTTCCTGTGTGTGAACATGGCCCACTTTCACTATTATACACACTTTACTGTTAGACAGATAGTTCATTTGCTGATTTTTAAATTGCATGGATGTTGTGGCATACAGAGCCCCTCAAAACAAAAACCCTTTGGGAAACTCTTGGAAGATAATTTTAATTGGTGTTGCAAGCAAAGCATGTTTGTTGGGTGCAGATCTGCTCGTCCAGAGCCATGGTCCCCCTGAACATGTTTAGGGTCTGCAAAACGCTATTTCATGCATTTTAGATACGTTTTAAGGTTCGGTCACACGGAGCGACAAGTCGCAGGGGCATGTTGCAGGGACATGTCGCCCGAAACGAGTCACACGAAGCGACAATGCTAGACGAAAACAAGTCGCACAAGCGCTTACAGGCGCGTGGTCACACGAGGCGACAATTCATGCGACAAGTCAAAGAACTCCCATGAGGACTTATATTGAAATTGAGCGCGCAAGTAGTCATGGGAATGATATTTTGTGATTGGTCGGACTAATTATTTCCCCGCGACTTGTGAACAGACTAGCTCACATGATGCAACAAGTCGCGGCAACGGTTTTTGTCCCCGCGACATGTCGCATGAAATCAAATCAATTTGATTTCATGCGACATGTCGCGGGGACAATTTTTTGTCCCCGCGACAACGCTTACACATGTGACACACGATGAAATTCGACCCCACGACATGTCCCTGCAACATGCCCCTGTGACTTGTCGCTCCGTGTGACCGATCCTTTATGATAATCTGAACGCCCCAGATTTGCCCCACGTTTATGATAACCAGACAGCCCCTGGCAGCAGGATTCCAGAATGTTTCCTGCCAAATTTCAACTTCTAACCAATGCAATATGGTATATAGACTATAGTGACAAGTGACAAAAAACTGAACAACAGGAAAGTACCAAGATCGTTAAATTATATTTCTCCAAACATTTTTTTTTTCAGGCTGTAAGTCTGAACTGGCATCAGTATTCAACAATAGTAGTACAATCTTGTGTCTAGTATTTATTTATTATCAATATTTATTATATAAAGTATAGTGCTTTATAGAGATTTCGAGCACTGATAAAAGTGATAAAATAAATCGATGTGAGATTATTCATCATGATAATCTCACATGTGAAAATTATCGCTTTTCAATTATCACTTTTCTGTAAAAATTATCGCTTTTCTGTAAAAATTATTGCTTTTCAAAGACTGCCCTTTATATAATAAGCAGAAAAATACATGGGTGCTTGGAAATACCAGATTTATTTCTTGTGTTGAACATGATATCTCACTCGTTCGCTGCGCTCACTTGTGAGATATCATGTTCAACACTCGAAATAAATCTGGTACTTCTGCGCACCCATGTATTATTCTCTATTTAAACAGCATTTTTCTTCAGTACAAGACTGCATGTTATCAATGAAATAGCTGTACTATGTATCAGATATAACTGTAGTCTGTTTAATCAGTTTTTGTTCCATAAGAGATCTAGTCTCCATAGATGCATGACCATAGGCATTATAGTGTTCGACTGTTTTGCAATCACATACCTGACACTATATAATATGGCATGTGATATCCCATGCTCCTGTAAATGGTTCATATGGCCAAGTCTGGGTGACAAAAAAATGATCAACGCAAAGAACTTAGCAATTAGTTGGTCCACATGACCATTAGAAAATAGAAAATGATGTTACACATTTGTAGCTTTTGCAAAAGTAAGACAACTTTCCTTGTGTCAAAACAAAGTTATCCTGAGTTTAATTAAACTCTGGACATTTTCTTTGAACTTATTTGTAGAACTTTGTAAAGACAATGGGTCATTCCAGAAAACATCCATACCACCCCCACAGAGGAAATAGGAAGTTAACCCCCCTACCCCCTTCAGATGTCTTACTATTATCAGAAACAACTTTTTCTCCCTTTCCCCTCCGGACGGCAGAAACTTCCTCTGTGGGGGGAGTATGGATCTTTTCTGGAATGACCCAATACTATTTCCAGTCTTTCGAGTGCTAGCAGTCACGATGCAGACGTTTGACTGTGGTGTTAGTCATGCTTGGTTTGCATATTCAGTGTACGGATCAGACTTCATTGTGCTGGTTGGAAATTACATGTCCGCATAGTTGACGAGGTCACTATTTGTTGCATAGCTAGTAGTTTCTGATCAACCACCCGCATGCCTTCTCAAGCAGCCACCTCGATGGCCATTATTGCCATTTCCAACAATTATAATGAAAAATGAACATGTTGCTAAATTTACTTTTTGTTCGTTTTGTTCGTCAATACGTTTGCTTTGTCTGTTTGTATTTGTGTTTAATTGTTATGTTTGCTTTAATTTTAAAATAATTAGATATACCATAAGTTGTTCTTTTTTGGAACCCAGTTATTGGAGAACTATCTTTGTGTGGAAATTCCAGTCATTTGTAACCATATGTAGTTCTCTATATAGATTTATTGCAATGGATATGTTCAAAATTGTAAAATAAAATAAAATAAAATAATGCAAAAAGAGCATCACAAACCAAATTTGACCGATTTTTTCTCAAAGTACTATTTCTTTCCCTGCCTTTGATGCTTTTTCAAACCTCAAATACCAACACACCACTTTTTATTCTAATATTGTACCGGAAATCAATGAAAATTCAAAACAGGGGTGCATGCCACATGCACTCCATGCTGGTCGCTGGAGATCTCCGGTGGGAGGTTACAAAATTTATTGGCATATTGGTGTGAGCTTACTCAAAGTTGTTTGGATATTCAAGTGAAATTAATACTTTACAGTCTTAAAGGCCCAGGGTGCATTCCATGTAAAGTCTACGCCGAAGATACGCCAATATTAACTATAGATACTATTGTAATTTGCCAAACTCACGCCGAAGATCTTCGGCATAGGCCACTTAAAATGCACCCTGGTTAAAGGCACACAGGATTGTCTATTTTGAGATGGGTTTTAGTCCCCAAAAGTGAGATCAAGGGCAAATATTGGCACATCTCCGGCATAGAGCTTACATGGAATGCACCCTGGATTCCATAATGGTCATGGCTTTAATACCGCCTGTAGCAACTTAGATTGCAGAAAGCTGCTGATGAAAAACTAACATGCAACGAGTCAATGACATATATTATGTGAACAGTGACTGTGTACAAATCTGCACAACCACTCAAGCATTCTTCATATGTCATGGCATCCCCAAACTGCCTTTCAATTTAATATATGGCATTGGAACTGTAGAATACTGTGCCATACTGCTATACATGTGTATCCAAATATAATATCCAATAGGAATTATACCCCCATGTACATTATTGAATTTCAATCGTGCGATTTCAGTGTTGGCCCATCGGCATCGATTGCAAATTCGTTGAATAGTTCAGATATTTAAACATAAAACGAATGAATTGTTCAATATCATATCATTTACCACACAGTTTCAGAAATATTTTCAAACTTTGAACTGCTGATATTTATAGCCGAAGCTTTTTAGAGAAAATTTAACCCGTTTAATACACCATATTGTGGAAAAATTCGTCGATGTTTGGACGACCAGCACTAGACAAGGGCGGCATTTTTAGCGCTAAGGTAACACATATTTTACTCCCTCGGACGCATAAAAGTACCTTCCACTGGAATAAATCACATACCTGCTTCTTTTTCGACATTTTATAGTTCTTCGCAAACTTTTACGATGAAAGGATTGCAAAAGTTCGGGTAAAGTGCAAGGACGTTGCAACGAGGAAAAATTTCCGTAAGGGCCACGCTTGCGACGACAAACCGGGCCAGAAAGCCTCGCTTTCATTTTAGTTGCATAAATTTTAGTAAATTATGTCAAATATTCGACAATGAAAAATGAAAAGTCAGTTATCCAGCAACGCAAGTTATTTTTCACAGCTTAAGGAGTTAAAAAATTTGGTTTATACAGAGTACAAGTTTTCCAGGACAATATTTCATATGAAAAGTTTTATTTGCTCGTCGATTTTCCATGACAAGCATTCTAAATCATGATAATTTATGCAATAACTAATATTTTCTAAATTATTCATATTTATTATGTTGCCCTGAAATCTGCGGGCGCGTTTCTTGTTCATTCCAAAAGAAAACATTGAAATTCAAAAGGCAATGTTCAGAATTTTATATATTTTCTTGCTTTGGAATTGGAATTGCTCATCGCATGTAAACTGCTAGAGATGAATCAGAATTAAAAAGTAGGAGTTAAATGAATCATGAACTTAGAGTTGCTACGTAAGTGTTGGAAAATTTTGATACAAAACAGATATTAGTATTTTCCCGCCATATTTAATATTACTAAGTATATCAAAAAGTTCTAACAATAAAATTAATTTCTACCCTTTTAGAATCGTTTGGACCAAGCTACCCAGAGGTATGAATGGGTGTTTATTTAGCCATTAAGTTATGTTAGCTGCCCAGGGACAGACCTAGCCTTCTAAAATCTGACTGTAGCTACTAGCTATTTCCTTGGTCTTGCATATAAACTAGGCGAGTCCGGGGGCATGCCCCCCCAGAAAATTTCCGGAAATTTTTTACCTTGGAAATGCCATTTCCATCGTTCTGAACTTCTGATCATCAGATTCTGTCTTAAGGGACCACGTCCATATTCAAGTTGTCACAAATAAATAAATAATGTCAAATCGACGTTAACTATGAGTGCTCTGGTTATGAGTGTTTGGGTGGGTTTTATGTGAACTTATCGACGTTATCTCCGAGCTGTTTGTGATTATTTCATTTTTTTGCGCAATCAAAACATTGCCACAGTATCAGAGGGTATCCAACGTCATAGATACACGTCCTGTGATTGGCTGGATACCCTCCAAGGTATCCAAATGCCTCATTAAGTTACTATTTTTAGTAACATTTGAACCGAAAATAATCTTCGTCAAAAATAATTCAATGCTTTTAAAACATGGCTAATATGTTACATTTAGAGATGTAAATTTACGAAAGTTGCCTTCATTCTTCTTTGAGTTGGTAATTAAATGATCAAATTTTCATTATTTTTTGTACACTATCCATATGTACTCTGAAACCATTTCACTATCCATAATCGGAAAAATCTGACCGTATCTTGTCGTCAGCCACACTCGATACCCCAGGATCCGCCCTTGCTGTTGACATGATCAGCATGCAATTGTGCCTGTGTGACCAGACTGTGGTGCACAAACAAAGTTTGGCATTACTTTATATTTGTTGCATGTATAGGTGTATGGGAGGGGAAAAAATGTGGGGCAGACAAAACCCGAAGAAGGAAGACATCTCCTAGTATACAGACACAAGAAAATTAAAATGATAAATAAAACATATGGAACCATTTTATGAATATTTTCTGGATTTCATTCTTTAAAATACTGTATATTGAAAAGGCTTCACTCTAGGCCACATCCACAACACTGGTACGACCAATCCATTTGAGTCCAGTGGTGGATTTATAAGAGGGGGGCACAGGGGTGAGCACCCCTGTTGGCCTTGGTCAACAGGGTTGCATGGGGGGTGCAAAAAATCAAATTCAGAAATATGGCATGATTTCCAAGGTTTTCCTTTTTTGAAGTCAAACTGAAGCTCATAATTCAATGCCCATATTGCAGGAAATGGCATTTCTAGGGTTCTAAGCCAATTCATTTGAATACTCTCCCACCACCCCCTAAAGAATTATGAAGAAACACTCGGCTGTTCACTCAGCATCCCCATAGAAAAACCTTGCTGGATCCACCCCTGTTTGAGTCTGGATTTTGAGAATTTCTAGGGGGTTTGGGGGAATATTATTTGAAAACCCAAGAACTCTGAAAGGCTAATTCCAGCGACTATTTCTGAGAACACTCTGATAATTAATATATATTCAAGTTCACATACAGTACACTTGTTGGAAGCCAGTACCATTGAAAAATGTCTGAATTCAAAAGACATATATACAGTAGGAACAGGTGGAGTACAATGGTACTTGGTGCAAGCCAGTGCTGCAAGTTCTAAAGCCTCTCAGACTTAACATCAAATAGAATTACCTGCAGATTCTTAGGCGCAACCCTGGCAGAGAACTACGTTCCAGCCGAGCACCATTAATGCAAATTCCATTAAGGCGTAAAAAAATACCTGTGGTTCCGGTTCCCGACCGACCCTATTTTTTTCTGCCGACCCTATTATTTTTTCAACGCGATTGACCGTGCGTCCCTATTTTCTCCGGGTGATTGCGGGCTACTGCCAAAATGGCGTCTGTTGTCACGCTAATTATTGAAAAAAACATGAAAAAATATTCAAAAGAAAAATTTGCGATATGAAACCGGAACCACAGGTATTTTTTTACGCCTAATTAAGGACACTTTCCAAGACAGTGCTGCAAACTTATTTAATGCGATGCGGCCGATGCCAGCGGAAATAAGAACATGTCAAAATGTTAATATTTTTAAAAAGGAATGTTTCACAATATTGCGTGCTAGAGCTGAAGAATTGGTCATAACACAATGCCAATGGGTCAAGCTACCACCCTTCAATATAGATACAATACACTTTTAAGTGACAAAGCTGTACCTTGAGCTATGTCCTAAATACTGCTCTATGCTTTGGTGGTATTTTTTATTTTAATTTTATGAAGCTTTCATTGTACAAAATATATTACATGTACAATGAGGCATACCCATTACCCAACAAGGTAAACTGCCAAAAACAATTGTTAGTTATATAGACTAAACGAAGATAACAGAACATAGTATGATTCACATCAACAAAACACAGTAAACAATACAAAAAACATTAATAATGCAAAGACGTTTAAGATGGAGTGATTAGCAAACCTTCCTCAAAGCTGGCTGACATGCTGCTGCATTATGAATCTAACTTTATGAACCGACAACTCGATAAGAACATTGTTCCAATGACACTTCTGGCTTGATTTGCACGTCAAGTCGTCAACTGCTCATAAACCCTGGAAATACACACAGAAATAGAGGAAAAACCTTGGAAACTACTAGTCTGAGCCTCCACACAAAACATCTGACTACAAGTTTGACTTGTTACTGTAGTACTGGTCCTAACATTCAGAGAATGCTAACATACTGTACCTGTACATAGCAGACTGGCTGACAAAAAGGGTGGGGTGCTTTTTAGATATGGGAATGAAAATATTGGGGTGTGGCAAATGAATGCAATCATGATAACTCAACTGAGAAAACAATCTACTCATATTCATATAGCCACTAACGGAAAGGGATCTCCCTAGAGCCTGATGATATGCTAACTGCCTTACAGAATGCCACTGGTAAATACTTGACTCATCTGCCTTTCAGACATCTACTGTACCAGAGTCGTAGACTTGAGTCGGACTCGATTTGCAACTTCTGTGTCTTAACTTGTCAATCAGATCTTGTGACTTGACTTGGACTTGAAGAAGTGACTTGACTTGGACTTGCAAGAACTGACTTGTTACCAATGCAAGTTAAACGTATAGTCGTAAATATATAGTGAAAATTATCCGTTTTCTACAACTTTGTCGATGCACTCTGACTGAATTGTTTGAGTGAATTGCTCTTTATTTTTAAAATATCCAAAATTTAAAAAAAGCCGAACACAATTTTGAAACTGACGTATTTAGCTATGTCCTGTGAAAATTTGAGAAAAATTGGTTAAAACCCGCAGGAGCACAACTCGTTTGAAAATCAGTAATTACCGTAAAAGTTTTCGGGAGAAAATTGAATTTGAATATTACAATTTCAATGTTTTTTCTTATTACAGCGAAATGTATTTTATTAATTAAACAACTCTGCGAGTTTTCAACATTTTTCATTCAAACTTGGTCAGATAGTAGAACTAGTCTAATGCTTTCATTGAAACCAATAAAAAAATTTTAGGCAAAATTAACACTCAAAGGTGTTCTGTAACCTTAATTTGACTTGCAACTCAGAGTGAATGATTTTCAATTTGACTTGGTCACAGAAAAAATGACTTGTGACTCAATTTGACTTGCAATTCAGAGTGAATAACTTGTGATTTGACTTGGCCTCTAACAAAATGATTGTGACTTAATTTGACTTGCAATTCAGAGTGAATGACTAGTGACTTGACTTGGCCTCTGACAAAATGACTTGTGACTTAATTTGACTTGCAATTCAGAGTGAATGACTCGTGACTTGACTTGACTTGACTTGGCCTCTAACAAAATGACTTGTGACTTAATTTGACTTGCAATTCAGAGTGAATGACTCGTGACTTGACTTGACTTGACTTGGCCTCTAACAAAATGACTTGTGACTTAATTTGACTTGCAATTCAGAGTGAATGACTCGTGACTTGACTTGACTTGACTTGGCCTCTAACAAAATGACTTGTGACTTAATTTGACTTGCAATTCAGAGTGAATGACTCGTGACTTGACTTGACTTGACTTGGCCTCTAACAAAATGACTTGTGACTTAATTTGACTTGCAATTCAGAGTGAATGACTCGTGACTTGACTTGACTTGACTTGGCCTCTAACAAAATGACTTGTGACTTAATTTGACTTGCAATTCAGAGTGAATGACTCGTGACTTGACTTGACTTGACTTGGCCTCTAACAAAATGACTTGTGACTTAATTTGACTTGCAATTCAGAGTGAATGACTCGTGACTTGACTTGACTTGACTTGGCCTCTAACAAAATGACTTGTGACTTAATTTGACTTGCAATTCAGAGTGAATGACTCGTGACTTGACTTGACTTGACTTGGCCTCTAACAAAA